CTTCACTATTATGCGTGTATTTATTGTCATGTGATAGAATTCTCTTTTCCTTTCTTTGAATTCAGTTTCATACTCTAATTGTATCATTTGTACATAGGCAAATCATGCTCGAGATGACAACTCGCCGATATGGCTGGTGCAAGGAACGAAGCCATCATTAGAATTCAGACCGACAACGGGGAGGGATGCCCATGACTAATTCAATGATGATTGATGATGGTATAATAAAAACTGCAGTCTGCATCAGCACCAATTTCTAGGCCTAAGTAAAGTTATTCAACCAGAACTCTGCTTAGCGCTAAAAATTCCCCTCACCCAACCTTGATCCTGTTTGACCCACTTATGAAGATTCAAGATATATGACTAATCCTCTCCGTTCGTATTTTCTTATTGACTCTTTCTGACCCTTTAGGTTGGGGCGGGTCGGGAAGAATCGGATTAGTGGGTCGGTCCTAAGCAAGTGGAATCCCAATTCCTTCTACTCTCACTTGCTTTTTCTCCTATTCCACAAGTGGGTAACATACACTAATCCGGCCAACGGGCCGGGTAATAGGCTAGTATATATAAAGAGAGAGAGAGCACACAAAATATTAAGAAAAAGGAAGTTCTTATATAGTAAACTATATAAATTTATATATCCTCCATACCTACCCAAAATTAAGACTAATGGTTAGCATGCTTACAAGAACAATAATTGAGTCTAGAGAGATTCTTTTGCTTGCTTATATAATTAATGTAAAACTAATTAAAATAATTTTGTTGGATCTCGCTCTTAATATTTTCTTAAATAGTACAAAAGAGATTTATCGGAGTAAGAAAATCTACTCAAATTTCTGAGATCTTCAGATTAAAATCAACAATGGTATCACGAAACCAAATCATCTTCACCATCCCACTCGAATCTTCAACCAAATGACAATTTATATTTGCAAGTTGGGATTTTCTTAAATACCAAAGTTGCAAGTTGGTATTAACAATTAGCTACGATATCATTTTTAATCAAATTAAAATCATTGGTTTATATCCCCTCCCACCAAACCCATAGAAAGGTTAGACATCCCTGTCCATCAGGGGTTAGTGGCATGTGTTCATGAATCATTTAATGACTACCTCTTTCTTTTTCTGTCACTCGATCAAGGATAGAGATGATAATTTTCATACGATGTTTAATTATACCCCATACGTTCCGATATGTTTCAAGACGAGTAATACCAGCATCGTAGATAAAATGAGTATGAAAACTTGCTTCGATATGATTACATCATTGTCGATACAATTTTATCTAAATCATATGTAATCTTTACTCAAATAATTATTATTTTACTTTTATTACATTTATCATATATCATCAAGAATCTTCTTCTTCCATAATTTACTCGTTTGTCTCGATCGAGAGATGGAACATATAAAAGCTAGATTCTTTCTAAGTCATCTGAAAATCAGTTACTTCTGATTTGACCCCAACAAATAATAATAACTGACGTGTCCAGTTCTGGAAGTGACCACGTCCATCGGAATCTTTGTAACCGAAACGAAAAACGGTCTCTCTCTCTCCAAGATAGATTATCCCATAGTTGATTCCCTCTTCGTGAGGTAAAGAACCCATCATTGACACCGACACGTCGTCGTTTTTGGCCCTGCATGCATGGTTGGTTGGACAGCGGATGATTATTTTTGGTCCCCAAAGTTTTCCTATCTGTCAAAATCGCACCATGGGCACGTTATTTTCATTGGTCTAGCTAGTTGGTGTTGGCAAATAAGTAGACAAAAAATGTTGAAAACAATGAGAGGATGATTAATTAAGCTCATAGTGGATTAAGAATTTAAGACCATGATATGATAATTTGTTGAATCTAATTATATCAAATTAATTTTTCCAATTCATAAGAAAGCTGTGCACCGTCACATAAGTAATCGTAGAAGTTCAAACACGCTACCGTGAACTGTGAATCACACTTTTTTTTTTTGTTTCCTTTTGTAGGCGAATCACACTATTATGATTCTGCATGCTGGCTAACTAGAAAAAAAAATTACAATTTATAATTGAAATTACATTGATAGAAACTAGAAAGCACACGTGAGAAGTCTATTTGCGGTTACGACGGCCCATCCATGCTTTGTCCACTTGACTCTTAACAAACGACCAGAAGAGATATGAAAACGAAAAGTCGAACCAAAACTCTCGCTAATTTCCACAGCATAAAAGGGAGATAAAAGAAAGATAGTGTTGGTTCAATATCCAGAGACAATGTTTTGTTATTATCATGTCCTAGCTGGAACCTTATCTCTGTGATCCAAGTTCAATATTGAGCCACCTGATTGCAAATTTCTTCTATCGTCCCGTATGAAAATTCCCATCTTATCCGTTTTATCCAATATATATTTAGCTTGTTTTGAGGTGGGTAAAACCTGTTCCGATCTTATCCGTTTTATCCGATATATATTTAGCTTGTTTTGAGGTGGGTAAAACCTGTCCCGTAGGCTGGACGAAGCGGGCATGACCACATGAGTACTCTCCTTAACCTGATTCACCACATTCTCGATATGTTTTTGTCTAAATTACATGTTCTTTTATACTAAGATTTTTGTTGACAAATTTTATACTAAGAGTTTTAAAATAAGTCTTTGCACAATATCATCTACTCATTTTAGCGATCGGCCTAAAGTTATATTCTATAATATTGCTCTTATTTGTTAAAATTCAAAATACTCGCATGTCGCATCAATGCATATTTAATTCTTCGAATTACATTGATGACAAGGAATGATCTCTAGAGCTTTTCCTTGACCAATTTTAGGATTTCTAGATGATGGAGACGTTGGAGTTGGTGGGAACTCAAGCATGCAAGCCACGATGATTGAACACTTGACCATACACAAACAAACATTGTCCTATATATAATCAATATATTTCATGGGATTGATATGTAATGAACCTTTTTTTTTTGTTAACTATTAGTGAACCAAAATTATCAATTTCTCGTATTCACTCATATAAATATAATAATGGACATGAAGAAAAATATAAGAAAGAGAGAGGAGAGGGATATATGGAAAATAATGATTGCAAATCGTATTGAATATTGTACAGAAAAGGTCAGTGATATTTTATGTTGAATTGTGGTTTAATTATTTCATACCAATAAAATTGTCTACCAATTTCAATTTAGATTAGACGAGTTTTCCAGTCTAACTGCTGGTGCAATACACCACTTTGCAAACACTGATGGTGAAAGACTGGATTCATAAGGCTAATGGTCCCAACAACAAAATACTATGGGCAATGTCAACACTCAACACTAGACAAAACAATCGACTAATAAATTTGTATTGTGTGTTCATCCTTCTTTCCACGAGTTGTTCTAGTAAATTTTCAAGAGAACAAACCTCATAGTTCTTTTAGTCTTTTACGTTTTAGAGTTTTAGGTTACATTGTTTTTATTTAGAAGAGAATCATTGGAGCTGGAATTTATTATAAAATAACATTGGACCGAATGACTAAAATCGATAAACTTATAAGTACTATACTAGCTCCGGATCTAAAAGAGGGTTGGACCGTGACCCGGAATGACCACCCTTGGATCCACCATTGTTCTTACCCGAACTTGTTGTCATCCCTAGTCGTGAATCTCTTGCCATCTCCATGGATAGTTTAATGACTCCCAATTAGTAATCGAACAAATTAAAATTAATTCACTTTCACAATTGGCCGCATATCAAAAATTGAAGGAAACAAAGGAAAAAGTACTGGTTATGGTAATTACGCATACGAAATTACGAATACGATTAGCCGCATTTGCCAATTAATTATTTCCATGTATTTTGTTTTGTTTTTACTTCCACTTTTGGCTTGGTTTCGAAATTCGGCGTCATGCCTCGCGTCACACGCTGCGGCCTCATAGTCAACTCTGCCACCGGTTTCCCAAAATCAACAGACTTGATTCACCATTACCGCACATATTTTTACTGATAGAATTGCGCGGAAAAAGTTAATTTTTTGTTATAATCTATGATACTTGTCTTGATTTTAGGAAATGGCCTTAATTTTTTTACTAAAGCATGATTAAGATTGATGAAGTTTTATGGTTATTTTTATTGAAGATTTTGCTCCTCTATGTAATATAAAGGGTTTGTGTACACTTAAAAACACCTATTTTGTTTTGTTTTCGTGTAGCATCTTTATTTAGTTTAGCTTAATCGGTGATATATCATTATCCTTATCCATTCACGCCTGTATTTTATAGAGTTAAAACTTAAAACTGTTTGTGATACCAAACTTCAATTTGTTGCCATCATCTCGTTTAATTTTCTGAGACGGAAATGGAAAGAGAAAGAGAGAAAGAACGAAAATCAAAATGCTGAAACTTGATTTTATATGATTATGGAAACAAAAATATGGATTCACCTTATTACCAAATTAATGGCCCACAACATTTCAAATTAATAACAATAACCTACTAGATGATGGCACACTAAATTATGGCCTAGAAAATATATAATCTAAAAATCTATTTCCTCTGTTTTATTTGTTTGTTTTTCCACTCTAATGAAATATCATAACTTGTAAAAAAGAAAATGTCAATGTAATGAAATATCATAATTGTTTTTAGACCCAATTAATATGAATTGTGGCCTAGCAATTTGTAAGTGTCAATTGTCAACTGAAACAATAAAAAATAGCTAATTAGATAGTTAGGAGTTTGGGTGAGTAGGTCGAGAACCAAGTCTGAAAAACGTAGCCGTCCCACATGTCACAAGAGATAATAAAGTGAGTGTCGCTATCTCAATTAAAGCGGGTCCCAACATGAGCGGTTATCACCTATGTACAGATATACAATACACGTGGACGTGGTGTTGCAATATGAGCTGCCAAAGCGGCGAACCATTTTTTAGAAGCTCATTTGGTGTATATCGTTTCAATTTAACACATGTTGTAATCAACCAATAACTCCGGTATAAGTTCATATATACACATTTTTGGTTAAGTAATTTAAAAATAACTTCCAAAATACTCCACAAAGTTTGAAGGCCATACAAATTCATCATAGAATGATAACATTAAAAGGATAAATAAAAAGAATATCAATAACATTGTTTTAATTTGATCGAACATGACAGATAGGAACATTCCATACTAATCAACAATCTTTTTTTTTATGAATAACTATCAACAAATTTCAAATATGCTCAAGACAATATTTATGGTAAAATGCCTGTATTTAATTTATTAACATTCCATTAAAACAATTAACACTTATCTGAAAAAAGAGCACAGTAATCACAATACATCGAAAAAATTCAGAAAAAAACTCTCTAAAAGGAAAAAAAAAAATCACAAATTTGGCAAGCTACTGATTCACCACAAAAATAATAATAATAAATTGAGCGGTTACACAGAAATGGGTGACAGACCTGTGACCCAGAGAACTCTGCCCCGCTATGTATCACAATTGGGTTAAATTTAGGCATTCGTGGGTCCCACACACTCCTCCCCCAACCCTTTCACTTCCTTCCAATTCTTCTATAAATCCATCGCTCCTCTGCCTCTCTCAACGCTTACCCCAAACGCTCCCGATATCCAAGCTCTCGCCGGCCAGCTGCTGCCTGCCACCCACCGTCCTCCGCCGCCGCCGCCGCCTTCGTTATTTTTTTGCTCTCTCTCGTTCTTAACTCCTCCCTGTCTCCTCTCTGTTCTTTGTATTTTCCTGCCTCTGCCAGCTCCGTTTCCTAACCTTTTCCTCCGCCGGATCTCGTAAATTCCGTCGGTGCATGTGATCAGAAGAACCGTGTGTGATAGAGAAAAAAATTCGTAGAGATCTGGCTTATGTAATAACAAAAAAAACGAATTCACCTGTACCTATTTCTCTCTCGTTGGATTTCTCCTGGATCTGGCCTTGGATTCTCTGAGTTCGAATCAATTTGAAATTTCCGGACAGTTTTGCTGTTCCGAAAATGTCGGGTAGTGGAACTATGAGCAATCTGCTTCAGCATGGAGCTACAGCGTCGCCGCTCCTCAAGCCAAACAAGACGTCGTCTCGTTCCCCTGTATTCGCAGTCCCTTCTTGTCTTCGTCGGGGAGGGAAGACGCGATGCTCCGTCGCCGCCAGGGCCGGTCTGGAGAAATCGAAGCTCTTCGGGACACGATTGAGGCCTCACGGACCCGAGAGGCTGCACGTGTGGCAGTCGGACGGGCCGGGGAGGTCGCCGAAGCTCCGGGTGGTGGTCCGGTCCGCATTGTCCGGTGTGCCGGAGAAGCCGCTCGGTCTTTACGATCCGTCTTTCGATAAGGACTCTTGCGGTGTGGGATTCGTCGCGGAGTTGTCCGGAGACAGCAATCGGAAGACGGTTAGTATCTATTCGGTTACTCTTAGCGGTGTATTGAGAATTGATTGAATATATGTGACCGGGAACCTGATGAGTTTTGGCAATTTTTATTGTAACTCCGGCGATGTCAAATTAGGTAACCGATGCGGTGGAAATGTTGGTTCGCATGACTCACAGGGGAGCTTGTGGCTGTGAAGCTAATACCGGTGACGGAGCTGGGATTCTCGTCGGTCTTCCTCACGGTTTCTACAAAGAGGTAGAACTCTAAATTGTTTTTTGAAAAGACTTATTGATTGAATTTTATTTCTGGGCTGAATTGAATGTTTGTTTTGAGTTTGATTCGGATGATAATTATGGATTAACAATTTATGGTATGTAAGCGAATTAACGACATATGGATTAATTTCCTTTTGTTTTCATTGTCCTGACTATTTATCGATCTTGCTGGATGGAGATAGCTTGGGTCAAAATGCGATAGTGACGAATCTTTTGCTATGTTTTTTTGGACCCTTTGAAAAGTGAAAAAACTGAAAGCTAATCCGTCGGTGGTTTCCCCAGTTAGTAATTGGCTCACCAATTGTAAGAGAGTTTCAGCGATGTATGAATATATATTCGTCTTATTATAGATGGGATGGAGTGTTCTCTTCTACAGAATTATGCCAAAACCATTCTTCTTCCCCCGCCATTTTTCTTAGACTGTGTTTTTGTCGTAAATTACTGAATTTTATTGTGTTCGGTGATAGAATTTCGATTTGTTTTCTTCAGGTTGCAAAGGATCTTGGGTTTGAGCTGCCTTCACCAGGAGAATATGCAGTTGGCATGTTCTTTTTGCCCACCTCAGACAACCGCAGGGAGGAAAGCAAAAATGTTTTTACTAAGGTGTGTTGAGCTGAATTCAAAGCTCTATTCTTTTGGGGAAATGCTGTTTTGACCTTTACTTACCCGTTTGGTAATTTCAAATGTAATGCTGGTTTGACTGCCATTGTAGGTTGCCGAGTCGCTTGGCCACAGAGTTCTTGGATGGCGGCCAGTGCCGACAGATAACTCTGGGCTGGGGCAGTCTGCTTTGCAGACGGAGCCTGTGATTGAGCAGGTCTTTCTCACCCCAACTCCTAGGTCAAAAGCTGATTTTGAACAGCAGGTACGTCTTCTTTAGCAAGTTGGCTGGTTCTTGTTTTTAGTCAATTGCGAGGAGTAAGTGATGTGTATGATCAGACCATCCTGATGGAAGTTGTAAATAGATAATATATTCTGGTTCTGATGATTGATGTTTACTGGCAGATGTATATATTACGGAGGGTATCCATGGTAGCTATCCGAGCTGCACTGAACCTCCAACATGGTGCTGTCCGTGACTTCTATATATGTTCTCTGTCATCTAGGTAACTATTTTGAATTGGGATTTTGATTTGAGTTTTTTCTGTGCCCTGTTCCATTTGTGAATAGCATTAATGGCTTCAGCTGGTTTCAATCAGGACTGTTGTTTACAAAGGTCAGCTGAAGCCTGTACAGCTGTCGGAATACTACTATGCGGATCTTGGGAATGAAAGGTTTACGAGCTACATGGCCCTGGTAAATATAATTATCCATTGACTTTTATGCTTTCTCCACTAACTCATGCCTCAACAAAACAGCATGGGAACCACCAGTATCTGGGGACATATGCAAGGTTGGGGATGACTTCTGAGGCATTGAAGTATGAATGGTCTCTTAAGTATTCTCCACACCCTTGATTACTAATTGAATTTGGATGGCTGGATTGGATGGCCTTGTTGGAGTTGGCAGAAGTCTCATTGTCAAACATGTTTGCAGAAACTTACTGCACTGCTGTATCTGGTCAGTTGTTTGAAGAGGACACTCCCAGTTGGTGGTTGAAAGGATGTTTTGTTTGGTCAAGGTAGCTTAGGGTGAACACGATTCTGTTATGCCACCACGTCAACTCCTTTATCTCCAAAAAAACAGCGCATGCATTTAGTTTGCATACAATTATGTACGTTTCTGGCTTTTCCTATTAAGTGAAACTACAGAATGACAATTTTGGTTCCTATAATGTTTTCTACAGGTACACTCTCGCTTTTCGACCAACACCTTCCCTAGCTGGGATCGTGCTCAACCAATGCGTGTCTTGGGCCACAATGGCGAAATCAACACTCTTAGGGGCAACGTGAACTGGTAGGCTATTTTGAAAATAATGTGATACTGAGCCTGTCGAAGGTAGAAGCTTATGTGTTGACTTTTTTTATTCAGGATGAGAGCACGTGAGGGTCTATTGAAATGCAAGGAGCTTGGGCTCTCTAAGAATGAGATGAAGAAGCTCTTGCCAATTGTTGATGCTAGTTCATCCGACTCTGGTAATATTTGGTAATTTTGTTTCCAAGTGTTCATAATCAATATAATTCATTCAGTTTCAACTCCCAGGCTTACATTTTTAAGTTGCCCTCTACAGGGGCATTTGATGGTGTCCTTGAACTTCTGGTTCGAGCTGGGAGAAGTCTCCCTGAAGCTGTCATGATGATGATCCCTGAAGCCTGGCAAAATGATAAGAACATGGACCCACAAAGAAAAGCATTATATGAGTACTTCTCTTGTCTCATGGAGCCATGGGATGGGCCTGCACTTGTCTCATGTAATGATTTTTTATGACATAGTCACCTTTTCAGTGCTGCTGCTAGCTCTTAGTCTCTTAGTTTAGTTTAATCTCTTAGTCTCTTAGTTTAGCTCTTGTTTGCTGACATGTGTGTGGAATGTGCAGTCACTGATGGCCACTACCTTGGAGCTACACTAGATCGCAATGGCTTGCGTCCTGGCAGGTTCTATGTTACTCGAAGTGGGAGAGTTATCATGGCCAGTGAAGTTGGTGTTGTTGACGTGCCTCCTGAAGATGTGCTTAGGAAAGGAAGGCTTAACCCTGGAATGATGCTTCTGGTGGATTTTGAAAAGCACATTGTTGTGGACGATGAGGCCTTGAAGCAACAATACTCTCTATCAAGGCCATATGGCGACTGGCTGAAGAGGCAAAAGATTGAACTGAAGGATATAATTGAGACAATTCCTGAATCTGACAGAGTCCCCCCAGAGCTGGCGGGTGTTGTTCCGGTATGTCTTTTGTTACTTTAATTTTATTCCTTTACATTGGCGATGGGGCTGTGCTAATCCTACTTTTTCGATGTACAGGCTTCAAAAAACGATGAAAACATGGAGAACATGGGTATTCATGGTTTGCTGGCGCCATTGAAAGCTTTTGGGTATGTGGTCACTATAATGCAAAGCCATATTCACGGTGTTAAATTGGAACTAATTTTTCATGTTATATCTTGTATTTATGAAGCTATACGGTGGAAGCCTTGGAGATGTTGTTGCTTCCCATGGCAAAAGATGGCAGCGAGGCTCTTGGCTCAATGGGAAATGATACTCCACTGGCTGTTATGTCCGACAGAGATAAGCTCACTTATGAATATTTTAAGCAAATGTTCGCTCAAGTTACAAATCCTCCAATTGATCCCATTAGAGAGAAAATCGTCACTTCAACGGAATGCATGATTGGCCCTGAAGGTGATCTGACAGAAACAACTGAAGAGCAATGCCACCGCCTTTCACTGAAGGGCCCTCTCCTGACAATTGATGAAGTTGAGGCTGTTAAGAAGATGAACTACAGGGGTTGGCGGAGCAAAGTTCTCGACATAACTTATTCAAGGGACCGTGGCCGGAAGGGATTGGAGGAAACCTTGGATAGGATTTGTGCTGAAGCACATTCTGCAATCAAGGAAGGTTACACCTTGCTAGTTCTTTCCGATAGAGGTATGTATAGGACTATTCATTTATGTACTTGCCTAATTACAGCTAATTGAAAGTTAGCAATACACAGCTCCTCGTTCTTCTTTTCATCTTCTTTGTGCCTCATTGTCCAGCCTTTTCTTCGACAAGGGTTGCTGTGAGCTCACTCTTGGCTGTTGGTGCGGTCCATCATCACCTTGTGAGAAAGCTTGAGCGAACTCAAGTAGGTTTGATTGTGGAGTCTGCGGAACCACGTGAAGTTCATCATTTCTGTACTTTGGTCGGATTTGGTGCAGATGCTATATGCCCATACTTGGCCGTAGAGGCTATTTGGAGACTCCAGGTTGATGGGAAGATTCCACCAAAATCTAATGGCGAGTTTCACTCGAAGAATGAGTTGGTGAAAAAGTATTACAAAGCAAGCAACTATGGCATGATGAAGGTTCTTGCCAAAATGGGGATATCAACACTGGCCTCATACAAGGGTGCTCAGATTTTTGAAGCTCTTGGTCTTTCATCTGAGGTGATTGAGAAGTGCTTTGCTGGAACTCCAAGCAGAGTTGAGGGAGCTACATTTGAGATGCTCGCCCGTGATTCTCTTCATTTGCACGAGTTGGCATTCCCTAGGCGAGCTCTACCTCCTGGAAGTGCAGAGGCCGTCGCACTACCAAATCCAGGGGATTACCACTGGAGAAAGGGAGGTGAAATTCACTTGAATGATCCTCTTGCCATAGCAAAGCTCCAAGAAGCTGCCAGAGCCAATAGTGTAGATGCTTATAAAGAGTATTCTAAACGCATTCAAGAATTAAACAAAGCCTGTAATTTGAGGGGGATTCTGAAGTTTAAAGACTCTGCAGTGAAGGTTCCACTGGATATGGTGGAGCCTGCCAGCGAGATTGTGAAACGATTCTGCACCGGGGCTATGAGTTATGGGTCTATTTCATTAGAGGCTCACTCAACTCTCGCTGTTGCGATGAATAAAATTGGAGGGAGGTCTAACACAGGTATGCTTGATCGACCCTACCTGTTCTTTGTTTAATTTTCTCATTCTGCTTTGCCTTGGGTGTTCTTTAATGGGTGTCCTCTGCATAATAAGGTGAGGGAGGTGAGCAACCGTCTAGAATGGAGCCTTTTTCAGATGGTACGAGAAATCCAAAACGGAGTGCAATTAAGCAGGTTGCAAGTGGGAGGTTTGGTGTATCAAGTTACTATCTTACAAATGCTGATGAATTGCAGATAAAGATGGCTCAGGTATCTAATAATGAAAAGTTTTAAGATTGAAGATTTGAATTTGTTGAATATGTGCTCGGTTCCTTTGAGACCCTGCATTCTTGATAGGACCAAGATCTATGTTCTTCATGGCAGATAATGCTGCGATCTTTCTTTAAACACCAAAATGAGTTCATTTATCTCAGTTTATTACCATCTTGCTGATTTGCATAACATTTTTGCAGGGTGCCAAGCCTGGTGAAGGTGGCGAGCTACCTGGACATAAGGTTATAGGAGATATTGCAGTAACCCGAAACTCCACCGCTGGTGTTGGTCTCATCAGCCCTCCTCCTCATCATGATATCTATTCAATTGAAGACCTTGCTCAACTGATTCACGATCTTAAGGTAGGATGTATTTCCTGCTTGCCATTCCACCTTCAATGCAGTTCGTTTCATGGAATGGGATGTTCCAATTTCGATTTTTTTTGTCCAACCAGTCAACTAATTCAAACCTCCTAATCTTAATTGCAGAATGCTAATCCAGGAGCTCGGATTAGCGTCAAGTTGGTATCTGAAGCTGGCGTGGGTGTGATAGCTAGTGGGGTGGTAAAGGGTCATGCTGATCACGTCTTGATTTCAGGTCACGATGGAGGTACCGGTGCTTCTAGATGGACCGGCATTAAAAATGCTGGGCTCCCGTGGGAGCTTGGTTTGGCCGAGACTCACCAAACACTTGTTGCCAACAACCTTCGAGGCCGAACTGTTCTTCAGACCGATGGTCAACTAAAAACTGGAAGAGATGTAGCAGTTGCTGCACTTCTCGGTGCAGAAGAGTTTGGCTTCAGCACAGCACCTCTCATAACTCTTGGATGCATCATGATGAGAAAGTGCCATAAAAACACGTGCCCGGTTGGCATTGCCACTCAAGATCCAGTTCTCAGAGAAAAGTTTGCTGGAGAGCCTGAACACGTCATCAATTTTTTCTTCATGCTAGCTGAAGAGCTTAGGGAGATAATGTCCGGGCTAGGTTTCCGCACGCTTAACGAGATGGTTGGTCGTGCGGATATGCTGGAAGTTGATAGAGATGTTGTGAAGAACAACGAAAAGCTTGAAAACATTGATCTTTCACTCCTACTTAGACCTGCTGCTGACATCCGACCAGAGGCTGCTCAGTATTGCGTGGAGAAGCAGGACCATGGCCTGGACATGGCTCTGGATCAAAAACTCATCAAGCTATCTAACCCGGCCTTGAAGAAGGGTCTTCCTGTGTACATCGAGACGCCAATATGCAACGTGAACCGTGCTGTCGGTACAATGCTGAGTCATGAAGTCACCAAGCGGTATAATCTGGCAGGACTTCCAAAAGACACCATTCATGTGAAACTCGATGGAAGTGCTGGGCAGAGTCTCGGTGCTTTCCTTTGCCCCGGGATAACACTAGAGCTCGAGGGTGACAGCAATGACTATGTTGGAAAAGGATTGTCAGGTGGAAAAATCGTGGTTTATCCACCAAAAGGAAGCTTGTTTGATCCGAAAGAGAACATAGTGATTGGTAATGTAGCTCTGTATGGAGCTATCAGCGGTGAAGCATATTTCAACGGTATGGCTGCAGAAAGATTCTGTGTACGGAACTCCGGAGCTACTGCAGTTGTTGAAGGAGTTGGTGATCATGGTTGTGAGTACATGACAGGTGGCACTGTCGTTGTGCTAGGAAAGACAGGAAGGAATTTTGCTGCAGGCATGAGTGGTGGCATTGCCTATGTTCTCGATATCGATGGGAAATTCCATTCTCGTTGCAACCCTGAGTTGGTGGATCTCGATCGAGTCGAGGAAGAAGAGGACATCATGACTCTCAGAATGACAATACAACAGCATAAGCGTAACACTAACAGCCAGTTGGCTAAGGAAGTGTTGGCTGATTTTGACGGTCTCCTGCCTAAGTTCATCAAGGTCTTCCCGAGAGATTACAAGCGTGTGCTTGCTAGCATGAAGAGTCAATCAGCTGCTACAGAGGTTGCTGAGAAGATGGCTAAGGAAACTGAGGATCAAGATGAGGTGGAGTTGACTCCGAAAGATGCCTTTAACGAACTCAAAATGTTAGCAGCTGCATCAGTGAATGACAAATCCATTCAGGTGGGTCTTATTTCTGATTTCTGATGGGTCACATTTGAAAACTGAATAATGCTTTTGCCTCTTGGGCCAGCTAATGTATTTGACTTGTCAGATTGAGCCATAAAAATTGTGAGAGGAAGACCTATCCAAGGTTTAGTTGGAGTGCTTGACTTGAACATTTTCATGGTTGATATCCTGCTTATAGATTCTGATGTCTGTCTCTTGTTTTGGTATGGACAGGTGGATGAAACTGCAGAATCGAAGAGGCCAAGTCGGGTCAATGATGCTGTTAAGCATCGTGGGTTTGTTGCATATGAGCGTGAAGGTGTTCAGTACAGGGATCCTAACGTCCGCATGAATGACTGGAATGAAGTAATGGAGGAATCAAAACCTGGTCCTCTTTTAAATACTCAGTCAGCTCGCTGCATGGATTGTGGTACTCCTTTCTGCCATCAGGTGAGAGCTATAGCTTTTTTCTGCTTATGCTTACCCATTTCAGTAATGGTGGGAAGAGATTTGTCTGACGCTCTTCTCTAATTTGCTTCTTTGTTGCAGGAGCACTCGGGATGCCCACTTGGAAACAAAATACCCGAGTTCAACGAGTTAGTTTATCAAAACAGATGGCGTGAAGCATTGGATCGTCTTCTCGAGACAAATAACTTCCCAGAATTCACTGGCCGCGTGTGCCCTGCTCCGTGCGAAGGCTCTTGTGTTCTTGGCATAATTGAGAATCCCGTCTCTATAAAGAATATTGAATGTGCTATCATCGACAAGGCTTTTGAAGAAGGGTGGATGAAGCCAAGGCCTCCTCTCAAAAGATCTGGGTATGTCATCACTCAATGAGAAGCCTCTGTTTACTTGTCTATATGTCTTTTATTCATGAAGGAGAGCATTCGGTATTGCAGGAAGCGAGTTGCGATAGTCGGAAGTGGACCAGCAGGTTTGGCTGCTGCCGATCAGCTGAACAGAATGGGCCATTCAGTGACTGTCTATGAGCGTTCTGACCGAATCGGAGGGCTTATGATGTACGGAGTCCCCAACATGAAGACTGACAAAGTGGATGTAGTTCAACGACGTGTCAACCTCATGGCAGAGGAAGGCATCGACTTTGTAGTCAATGCCAACGTTGGAGTTGACCCTGAGTATTCTCTAGAAAGGCTCCGGGAGGGCAATGATGCCATTGTTATGGCAGTCGGAGCCACCAAGCCAAGGGACCTTCCTGTACCTGGACGGGACCTGCAGGGAGTCCATTTCGCCATGGAGTTCCTTCACGCCAACACGAAGAGCTTGCTCGACAGCAACCTGGAGGACGGCAACTACATATCCGCGAAGGGGAAGAAAGTGGTGGTCATCGGCGGAGGTGATACAGGGACAGACTGCATTGGGACATCCATCCGCCATGGCTGCAACAGCATTGTGAATCTAGAGCTGTTGCCCGAGCCACCGAAGACTCGAGCACCAGGCAACCCTTGGCCTCAGGTCTGAATCATAGAATCATAAAACCCTGATCGGAGTCTGCAACGTCGCTCATCAATATTCAATCTTTGTTTTGCAGTGGCCTCGTGTCTTCCGGGTGGACTACGGACATCAAGAAGCTGCTAACAAATTTGGAAAGGACCCACGGTCTTACCAAGTGCTAACCAAACGGTTCGTGGGAGATGAGAATGGGAAGCTCAAGGGGATTGAGGTGGTCAAGGTCAACTGGGAGAAGGATGCTAGTGGGAAGTTCCAGTTCAAGGAGGTAGAAGGTTCGTTGGAGATGATCGAGGCTGATCTCATCCTGCTAGCAATGGGCTTCCTTGGTCCCGAGGCGGTCAGTTATCCTTCTCTTGTCTGCTTACTTACTGCTCAGTCTTCTCATGATTCGTTTACTCAAATTTCTTATTCTTCTTGTTCTTCTACAGAACTTGGCCGAGAAGTTGGGCATGGAGAGAGATGCACGATCAAACTTCAAGGCTGATTACGGCCGATTCTCAACAAACGTGGAAGGCGTGTTCGCTGCTGGGGATTGCCGACGAGGACAGTCCCTCGTCGTATGGGCTATATCCGAGGGAAGACAGACTGCATCCCAAGTTGACAAGTACCTCATGCGAGAAGAGGATGCTGACGCGATCAGCAAGGAACAGGGTGATGCGAGAGAGCCAGACTTGACGAAGAAGCAGCGAGAAGACAAGCACAGGGTCATGACATAGGGCAACAGAAAGCTCTGAGCTTTCCATTGCTGACTGATCGTACAGCGCGACTGCTCGAAGATAAATAATGGGCGGCCGCGATGATGACGATGCAACAATGTCAGTCATGTTGTGAAGCTGAAGACGGCTTTGCAAGGTTTAGATGGAAGATAGTAGTACAGGATCGAGGAATTGTGTTGATGCTGTTCTTTTGTGGGTTTTGTTTTCCTCTGCCCCATTGGTATAGTTTATATTATAGACTCAACAGCCACCTTAGTTTTGAGAGGTGGATTTGTGTTGGGTTTGTTGAGGAAAGAATAATGTGCAGTTTTGTTTGTTTAGGCGCTTTTCCAACTTCAACTGCAAGCAATATATTTGTAATTTATATCGTAATGGGGAAATCTAATACTATTTGCTTTTGTCAAGTTTTCTCAAACATATGATTCTTGTCATGGTAGTGAAGAAAACCTGTACTCAAGCTTCTGGTCAATGTCCTCGGAAGCAAGAGTACTGTCTCCTTTAGCAGTGTTGTTGTATGTGTACTTATTCTCTCTTCTTCTTTCTATTGCCTAGTTTATAGGCAACATCAAAGCGATCTTGGGTTGCTAGATGCTGTTGGTGTACTCCAGCATATAAATGCTGCTAATGGAACTACCAAGGAAGGTAACAGAGGAAATGTACTGCTAATGGGAGGATGGGTTTCATTAGCTTTTGTACATTAGTTGAAAAACAAAAGCTTCTTACGGTTTAATTACTTCGACTTATAATGCTTCTTCTGGCCGAAACAAAAATGAGCCGATTCATTAATCAGGTGATTTGTACATTCTTCTGTTACAGCAATTCAAAGCTATGAAGTCAACTACATACAGAAGCAATTGGTAGCAGCGAGTGTTTATTATTGCAGGTGCGAATGTAACAGTAGAGGTGTCCAAACGTAATTCATTGGCGACTGGTGACAAACACGCAATAACCAAATCGAAATCGGCCTTTCAACTGCTTCATTGCAGGCTTCCTGGTCCGTCAAAAGCAGCCACCCAGCTGCAACATGAGAAGAAGGGGAACAGATTATGACAGTATTTTTGACAGCAGAAAACGAACATCAGTGTCTGAGAGTGTTTCATCAGACAATCACATTGTCAAATACATAGACAATCAACAGCTGAAATCGAGAGTCTCTGCAGAACCAAGTCTTCGTGAACGACATCAAACCACATAGTTCATCTAGATAACTCGAGTTATTGGAGAAATGTTCTAAACCCCATCTCATTTCGCTTCATAAGAGAAAGCATGGCCAACCCAAGAAGGAGCCTTTCTGAGCAGTTCATATCATAAATGCATCATATAGAGGCTAAAAGAGCTAATTTAACAATCATAATTACTAGCATAGACCATATATTGTTCTGTGTGGTTATCAAGCAAGCCTTATAATCATCATCACAAGATTGCAGCAAACCATAGAGGAGAGCAAATCAGGGAAGTCTTCTCTTCCTTTCTTACTTACTATCACAGCCTCGATTTCCCTTTCGGTGACCGGGCTTCGCCTAGCCTGAAGAGAAGCTTTCCCTCCAACAGCGGCGTCAGATGTCGATGACGGGACATCTGATCCAGAAGCTTGGGGAGGAAACTGGTACTTATCTCCTAACCCTGTTGTTATTTCTCGACCCTCCTGGGAGCTTACAGATTCCCTCCACAGTTAAAACAATCAATCATTTACTGCCTAAACCCATTATTCTACTGTACAAAGGAAGCACCAAAAAAAAAAAAAAGATTCAAACTTTACAGATACAACCCAGCTATGGTCTCAATCCAGCTATTCCCTCCCACTTATCAATGAAATTGAAGATCATATGGCGTAGAGAAACTGAGATACATGACAGTTACCTGAGGAAGAGTGTCTTTTGGGGAACTTAATTCGTGGAATTCTCCTCAGAAGCTGCCCTTCTCCGCCCATTTCTTTCTTCGTTCCTTTTTCGTTATCTATAAACTTTACTCGTTGAAGTGGTATGTCTGTGAGTTTATCCGCCATTGACGAGAATCACCAATCCAATCACTATCTCCGGATTTTTTGTTCTTTTTCTTATTTGCGGATCAGCTGGTACTGATCGCTTATTGGAGCGAATTGGGCTCCAGTTTTGACCCCTTGAAGCCCAATAGGAAATGATCCGCTCGTTTAGGCCCAATTCTGTGGCTTTCTCTGATCTCCTTGGAAAATCTCTGTTGTATAAGATCATCTCCAACTGTAAAATTAAAAAATGTACCAAAAAAAAAAAAAAAACTCGAATTTTAAAGTAAATTTTTTCGAGAATAGGGGTTAGGTTTGGCAAATTACCCCAATAAAAGGGTTTTGGATTAAATGATGAGTGTTAGAATGTTGAATTCTTCATTTTTCCCCCCAATCTCTATTAGTGTAAATACCATCTCCTTAAGACCTTAACCGGATAGTTTGTTCATTATTTTTATATAGATAATAATTATTATTACAACCATTTTGATGTAAATTTTTTTAATTTGGACATACAAGATTTTAAATTCAAATATGTCATCATCAATGTTATCGAGAGCTTGGCCTAGGGGTACAAATACCACTATTATTGAACTTGGAGGTCTCAGATTCGAATATATTCAGAAACACCTAACTATAAAAAATTAACATATGTCACTCTTATAAAAAAAAATGATATCATCAGTGACGAAACACAACAACAGTTTTAGATAGCCGTTGGGAAGAAGTTGGGGTTGATCTACAAATTTGTACCGCTGCCATGAGGATGAGGAGTAGCCCGGCCCATGCCGAGAGAAGCTTATCGTTGTAGGAGTTCGTTTGTTTCTGTTAGTTGAATGAGTTGGCTTAGTTGTTAGGATCTTTTGAGTTTGGCATAATAAGTGGAACAAGTTCAGCAGCGTGGTTGCTGAACGTGGGGAGTAGTTTTTTGATAATGGTGAAAATGCATTACCACGGAAATACACCAGAGGTGTACACGGTGTACAGAGGACAGAAAACAAGAACCAAAAATAACCCAATGGAAGAAGAAGAAAGGGAGGGGACTCTCCGCCAAATAGCCATAATAAAGGAAGAAAACAGAAGAAGACAGGGCAAGGAGAAACCGAACTGAAAGCACAAAAACAAGAGGAGCAAAGCAGAAGTGCTCAAGAAGATGGACACGCTTCAGCGAACGTGGGGAGTAGTTCCACCAAGCTAGTTAGGACTGCATAGTTCCTTTTCAAACGTGGATGTATTTAAGTTAAAGTGAAATGAAATAACAAACAAGCAATTTCAGAATCAAGAAATCCCTGGCCATTCTCGCGAAAAAAGGAGAAACTTGATCTACTCCCGTAAAGGGAACTATCAAAATCTATAACGTGAAATTACAAGAACTACTACTTACTTACATTCAAAGATGAACGAGAAAGAAAGCTTTCATGGGCGAGACTCTGGAATTTGAACAGTACTATGACCACCATCTTCTCTACTACCAATTTATAGCTAAAAAAATTGAACATTTGAGACAAATTGGTTCTTAACAGAGCCGTTTTTGACCAGATGTCTTCTGTTTGAATCTTGACGATTCCATATTCAAATTGTACAAATTTTGAGATTTATTGAGTGACCTGAGTTTGAGGGGGCGTGTTAGTATGTGGTACAAGATTCATTATTAAACATCTCCCAACAATTCAAAATATTGCGACCAAACGATTTATGACATGTTTGAATTTCCTCGACTTCCAGTTTTAACAATTGATCCAAGCTCAATTTTTTTTAGAGAGAGATTTAAACTCAATGTATGGTATGCTTGTACAATTTCAAACTCGTCAACTTTCACTTAAAGGGACATACTAAGGAGTAATATAAAGTCCATAATGGACAATATCTGGAACAACTCACATTATTGAGGTTAACTCTTTCTTATCAGATGGAGAAACATATTTTTTCATACTTGACTAACCAAACTTAATTGACTGACTACTATTTACTAACTAGCAATATGAAGTTCCCTAAAAAAAAAACTAGCAATATGATAAACACAGAAGCTAGTCCATCAATATATTACTTCCCCTTGGTGAATTATAATTTCTAAAGACATTGTCTAGAAAGAATATAATCATGTTAATGTTTTCGGTGAAATGAAATCTCAAATGAAGTAAAATACATTGGAGCGATAAACTAATTGTCTAAATTAAACCTTGAGTTAATTTCAAGGAGATACTATTGCATGTCAATTAGATTTAGGGATCGTTTGGATGAGGAATTCTAATGGATCAATCTGATACAATTGTCTCGTTTTGAGTCAATTGTGCTAGATTGATCCGTTTGGCAGCAGAAAATTTGGATGAAGCAATTTGGGTTGGGGAATTCTGAATTTACTCATTTTGAGCCAATTACAATTGTCTGGAGTGGGGGCAGGTAATCTGAATTGACTCGTTTAAAATGGCTCATTTTGTAAAATGAAACAATTGATCAAATTGTCTCGTTTTACAATTGATCCATCCAAACGACCCCTTAGGATACTAGCTATAACGATGGTTATGGTAGGTTGCATACTTTCTAATTATTGGTTTTTGCCATGGTTTAAGAAACTCTAATGTAGATCTCAAACGAAGTAAAATACATACCAGTGATAACTAATTGTCTAAAAACTTGGAGTTAATTTCAGGGAAATACTATTGCATGTTAATTAGATTTAGGATACCCTAACTCATTGATTCTTCATCGAAATGACCAAATTAAGTATCGGCCGTCAAGTAGTTCATGTCTCCAAAACCCATTTCGATTTTTATTTTTAGTCGTTACTCACCCCAAATTTTGATTTGTGACAAAATGCAAGAAGATATAAAAATAACAATAAATTCCATCACACAATTAACGAGGGCACAAAATTGAACCAATAGAAATAATAATATGAAGCCAAGTAAAGTAATAACAAGCAAGTAATTTCAGAATCAAGAAATCCATGGCCATTCTCACGAAAAAAAAAAAGGAGAAATTTGATCTACTCCAGTCAAGAAAAGGGAGCTATCGAAATTTATCATGTATCATCTGCGTATAGGAAGCTTAGTCCTCCATTTCCTCACTTCTTCTTACCAACCTTCTTCATTACTTCTTGCAGTCTAATAATTTGCCTCTCATCCAGCTTCCCCAGAACACCAAATGAAGGAGGAGTTATTTTCAAATCCTTAAATGAGCAGCTAGCCCTGTGACAAAATGCAAGAAAATATAAAAATAACAATAAATTCCATCACATAATTAACGAGGCCACAAATTCGAGGCAATAGAAACAATAATATGAAAGGCTTGTGATCGATAATACTAGTTGAGTAGTCAAAGTCATGCATAATTTTTTTTAGCTAGCTAGCAAATATGCCAGTAAGGTGATCATCACCTCGCAGACTAAACTTATACAAACAATTGAAAACCTTCCAAGACGCTGTACCTTGTGGTCCTTCTCATCCACTAACTTGCTCAAAAGGGAATTCATTTTCTTGCTCCATTCCAATTCCTTCTTGCATGCCATCAATTCTGCGCTCTTCTCCTCCAACCTCCGTCGGAGCTCCTTGTTGTCTTCCTCCGCAGAGCTGAAAGTTCCGCCAACCTTCGTCGCGGTGTACATGCCAATGCTCGTCACTCTGTTACTGTGTTGATCAAGTAACTTCTCGTCAGATCTATCCCGATCATCAGGGCGATCGGTGAACTGCATAGTTTTAGATAGATCAATGTGTGATTCTGATTAAAAAAAAAGTACAAAACCCATCGTTTCTACTTTCATAAGCCCATTAATTAATCAACTCTTTCCTTTCTTTCGTCCCAAGGTATATAAACCAAGAAGGAGAAGAAGGCCTAAGAATTCTGGGTTAAAACTTCATAAGCATACATATTCAAGTGAGTAAGACGCTATATATATCAATATCAAGTGGATCGAGTTGATGAATTAATATTATAGTCACCTTCTCCACCTCTTCCTCCTTCTCCAACTTGCTCGAAATAATCTGCTTCGTGCGCGCCGCCGGCTCATTGCCGGCTCTCACCATTCCTCGAACGTCCAGCACGGTTTCTCCGGTGTACATGTCGACTATGTTCCACACGGTGTTCCCGGTGCCGACGTCACGGGGCAGTTTCACGCCGTACCTTGACCAGCCAAAGCGATCGTTGATCCGCAGGGCACCGCCGCCGCCATTGACCCGGCTGATTATGCAGAGGCCGAAGCGGTTCACGAAAACGTTGAATCCCATCGCGGAGCCAGCTCCTAGCATCCTAATGAGATCGTTGACCAGCACTATGAACTGGTATCCCTTGACCGTGGCCCCAAAGACTTGCAGCGCCTGGTATTGTTGTTCGTTAGGGCCGACGCGGACTCGACTATTGTCGCCCCAATGCTCGTTAAGCCGGCGGCCGCGCGTCCGCTGGAAATCGTCGTTCAGGTCGCCCTTGTACCACCAGACTTCAAGAGTACTACTATCAACACATGGTGTGATGAATATTTTGTCGGAGTTCAAGGCGAACGCTTTCGACATCCCGATCGACGGCGGGATAGTATAAACTTTAATTGAGAGAGACGAGAGTGCTAGCTAGGGTTTGTTCTTTAGGTTTATTTAATTTCCTTGTCCGCCAACTGAAATACGATACTATATGGCTTGTTTATAATCGGGCTTAAGTTTACTTTCGAATCAATCTTTTTTACAAAACTTAGATAATTCATGAGAGATGATGGAAATAGGATCCAAATTCATTGATCATATATATTCAATTCGATTCAAATATCAATTTTGTATGCTGACCACCCCTAACCAGCCCATCTGGGGTGAATTGAATACACGCGGTAGATTTTAGTTTTATTCCTCCCCCAATAAGTCACTCAATGAAGAGAAATAATATGTACAAAATTATCTAGTACTACACAGCAGAGCTAACGAAACGAGTAAAGTTGAACCTCCAGAACACATGAGGCAACAATAATAGGGCATGCCGAGCTATCAAGTCAGCCATCCTATTTCGAGCACGACCAACAAACCGAACAAAGAAATTAGTCTGGAACTGTCATAAGTGGATTGTCTCAACCAAGATTGCTCCAATATTCGCATCTTGAGTGTCCCCGTTAACACTAGTCGATTGATAGGGAGATTGCCAGTTCCTGGTTGCGTGCCGTCAAGATTCACCTGTGTCCTGGACGTGTTGACGAGCCTCTTTGCTCAGCGACGCGGTGTAGTTTGATGACATTGTTGCCCCAGCTGCTGATAATCTGTTGCTTTCATGATCTTTTGCCGGTTGCTGTTTGTCTCTCTGATGAGGTCCTGTCTGCTGTGCTGGTGTTTTGCTGCCCGGCTTCGTGATGCTCTGATTGTCGTTTTGCTTTTGTCAGCTTGTCCTCTCTATTTTTTCTTTCCTTGTTCTTCTTAGTTTCTTTCCTCTGCCGCGGCCTATGAGCTGCTGGTTTTGTTCAGTTGTTGCGGCCTGTGTCGGTTTTTTGTTTTTCGGATTGTCTGTTTGTTCTAGGAATTAATTTATTTCGCCATATATAATAAAAAAATTAAGAGGAAATTTTTTTAAGGCTTTTCAGGAGAGAAGATATGCTTATGTGGCGGATGGTGATTAAGGTATGCATAATTACTCACATGTGAGTTACTGACCGGAACTGCTACCGAACTGGTTGGGTGGGCAGGGTACAAAATTGATATTTGAATTGAACTGAATTTGATCAATGAATTTTGATAGTAAAAATTATTGATTTCAAAGTAAATTTAAGCTGATTCAAAACAAGCCAAATCTATATTTTTTATCTGGTTATAATAGAGACAGACCAGTTAGATCTTGTCACGGGATAAATGTAAATTTTGCAAGCCAAAAAATTTCATATATTATATTTATATTGATGATGGAACACAACACCTATGAGTGATATGATAGTACGATGTCACTACACCGAAACTTATTACTTATTCATAAATTAACGGCTAAATTACAAGTTTGGTCACTCGAATTGCTACAAAATTTCACGTTTTGTCACTCGAACCTTGCCCACTATAAAGAGATGGAGATGGATCTGATAACATTCATCAAACTGACCGACCGACCCTCACAAGCTCTTCCCAAAGGACCATTAAACATTTTCACAGGCCATGAACATAAAACAAGGAGCAAATTCATCTTCTGAGTCCTACTTACTACGACAGTATTTCACTTACACACATCAGACAGACGATTTCAAGAAGGTGTTCATCCATCTCCTCTCTAAAGATCATAAACCCTTTCACAGACTTGGTCACATGAGTCATGAGCTTCAAGAGGCTAATCCAGAACATTGAAAACCGGACACAAGCTAACCATATCTCAGAGGACATAATCAATGTAGTTAAAAGCTATAGTTTAAGCCTAAAAGCTTACGCTTTTAAGTTCTTACCTCCTCCAATATAGTAATTTTCTTTGAAAAATCTTTTGACACCATAAGCTTAATATAAACTCTTTAAAACCACAATATGTGCATAAAAAATCCTTAAAAGCTAGCTTTTAGGACGCTTATAAGAGCTTTTAATGATAATGTTTATGGAGCGATTTGGCACGTCGTGCGATGGTCAAATGGTTTTTTTGTGGATGAAAAAACTAAAGTGATCATGCCGTTGGCTTCAAAATGATTCTTTTAACATGAATGATGATTGATGTATTTATGAGGAGCATGATGTTAGTGACAATAACAACTATGATGATGGCGGTAATTAAGATGATATGATTTGGATGGAAATGTGGACGTTGCTGCCCAAATGTAGCATAAATCATGATCAATTTTTTTGGGGGGCTTGTGATGTCCATAATATGAATATTTCAGAGTTATGATTCATATTAGCGTACGATTCAACTCTTTTTCTATGTTTATGAACTTGTTCTGAGTTAGAATGTACTCTAGTTCAAAATCTTTTCCAATTTTCTGTGTGTGGATCCTATTAGTCTTTTAAGTTGCTTTTTTACAATTTCAATGGTTCATATAAACTTACGTTCTTACGCTCCGCTTTTACGCTTAAGTTTGTACCCATCATTTCGCTTATACATAAAAACTATAGTTTAACTACATTGGACATAATAATAGTAATAAATATCAATAAAACTTCCTCATAGAACTACCAGTCTTTGAATCAGCCATCTAACTAATAGAGATCAAGTAACTCAACATGTGGGATTGACATCATGAAAGAAAACAATATATCAACCGCAAAATAGACGAGTGTTGAAGACTTACAAGTATCGTTCCATATCTTGTTCAACTATTCTTTAATCGTCGTATCGCGGTTGAGCTTGAGCAGATACGGCGACCTCTCTAGCGCGGACAGCAGCTTCATCAGCAGCTACAGCTGCCTCCCTTTGGCTTACAGCGACCTCCATAGTGCGGACAGCAGCTTCATCAGCTGCTACAGCTGCCTCCCTTTGGCTTACAGCGACCTCTCTAGCGCGGACAGCTGCCTCCCTTTTGCTTACAGCGACCTCCCTAGCGCGGACAGCATCTTCAGCTGCAGTTGCCAACATCTCCCTTACACCGGAGAAATTTTTATTGAGAGTTGCTTCAGCAGCAGCAACGGCTGCCTCTCGTTCGGCGAGAACAGCTCCGGCATCTCTTGCAGCTGTCTCCCTTTCAATTAAGGTTCTCTGCCTTATTGCAAGAGCAGCTTCAGATCTGGCCCTCAATGACACAACTTCTCTTCTAGCTTGAGTGGCTTCCAGCTGGAAGTCATCTCGGCCAGTAACACTAACCTTGCCCACTAACTTGCTCAAAAGGGACTCCGTTTTCTTGCTCCATTCCAATTCCTTCTTGCATGCCATCAATTCTGCGCTCTTCTCCTCCAACCACTGTCGGAGCTCCTGGTTGCCTTCCTCCGCAGAGCTGAAAGTTCCTCCAACCTTCGTCGCAGTGTACATGCCAATGCTCGTCACTCTGTTACTGTGTTGATCAAGTAACTTCTCGTCACATCTATCCTGATCATCAGGGCGATCCGTGAACTGCATAGTTTTAGATAGATCAATGTGTCACAAAAAAAAAAGTACAAAAGCCATCGTTTCTACTTTCATTAAGCCCATTAATTAATCAACTCTTTCCTTTCTTTTGTCCCAAGGTATATAAACCAAGAAGGAGAAGAAGGCCGTAAATGGAAAACAAGTTAATAATTAAGGTCGTCTCAACCAGCAGCAAATAAAATTTTCAAGAAAAGCGAGTAATTTGTTACCAAGTATAGCACAACTTTGTTAAAGCTCGAGTAACGCGGGCGCGACTCGAATTGAAAATGTCGAATCGTGGTAACAATGCCTAAGAATTCTGCGTTAAAACTTCATAATCATACATATTCAAGTGAGTAAGACGAAGAGTTGATGAATTAATATTAGTCACCTTCTCCACCTCTTCCTCCTTCTCCAACTTGCTCGAAATAATCTGCTTGCTGCGCGCCGCCAGCTCATTGCCGGCTCTCACCATTCCTCGAACGTCCAGCACGGTTTCTCTGGTGTACATGTCGACTCTGTCCCACACGGTGTACCCGGTGCCGACGTCACGGGGCAGTTTCACGCCGTACCTGGACCAGCCAAAGAGATCGTTGATCCGCAGGGCCCCGCCGCCATTTACCGGGATGATTATGCAGAGGCCGATGCGGTTCACGAAAACGTTGAATCCCATCGCGGAGCCTGCTCGCATCTTAATGAGATCTTTCACAAGCCTTCTGAGCTTGTTTCTCTTAACCGTGGTCCCGAAAACTTGTAGCGCCTTGTATTGTTCCTCCATAGGGCCGACGCGGACTTGCCTACTGATGTCCCAATGCTGGCGGTGGGTTTGTGCCCCTCGCGTCCCCTGGAAATCGTCGTTCAGGTCGCCCTTGTACCAGTAGACGTCAAGAGTACGACTGCAAATAACGCATGGTGTGATGAATATTTGGTCGGACGTCAAGGTGAATGCTTTCGACTTCGACATTCCGACGGCGGGATAGTAAACTTTAATCGAGAGAGACGAGGGTGTTAGGGTTTGTTGTTTAGGTTTATTTTCCTTGTCGGCGAACTCAAGAAAGACGAAAAGTACGATACTTAAACCCTATCAGTCTCGGGGTGTGGACGTCGGTTGGTTCGCTCGACAATCGGATCGAACCGGAATATGATCGAACTCAAAAGTAAAGAAAAATAGGGATCATAACCAGTGGGGAGGCAGGATTTGAAATTATCTCTGTTCTCTTTTCATGATACAAATATATAAATATTTAATAAATATAATTAAAGTTAATTATATATTCAAATAATTCATTCATAGATAAAAAATGACCGACTAATACAATCATTATTTTCATAAACAACCACGACGAGATTTCGTATTGTGAAAGAAACGCAAAAACATGTGTTTGTCTACACTTTTAAGTAAGTACCCTTTCAATGTATTCCACAAAACAATCAATATCAAATTGGTCGCCAATTCGACTTTGAAACTTGCTCTTAATATAACTCAAAGCGAAAAGTAATGAAATCAGAGATTGTTTTGATAAAAAAAAATCACAAAATCAAATTTTTTCGATTAAAAAAAACACAAAAAAAACCAAAAACCTACACGAAGAGCCTCTTTGTCCATTTTTTGGCAGAAGCCGGACAGAGGTTCGACGGGTTCGGGTTTGTAAGGGACGGGGGCTTTAGGGTCAAACTCTAGTAATTCTTTATGATGTGGAAGATCGGACTTAGCCGCAACCACAGAGCATACTTAGGACGAGACTAGAGCGGATAGATTGAGGGAGAAAGAATTGTAAATGTGGTGGTGTGATTTGGAAGAGGAGGGGAAGGGTTCTATTTATAGTGGGGGAAGGGGGGGAAGGTTTCTGCCGAGAATTTAATTGGGGATGCTTCACTGTGTTCGACGAAGACGGTGAATACACCGCCTTTATCGAAGACGGTGAAAGGGGCGACGTGGCTTGCTGTGAGGCGTCGTATCTGGGAAGAAAACCACGATCCGCGCCTCACCGCATCTGAAGGCCACAGTGAAAGGAAAAGTGACGCGGATCACTGACGCAAACAAACACGGGGTATTCACCGTGTTTGTCTAACGCGGTGATTACACCGCGTTTGTCCACGTCAGCGATCCGCGTCGCTTCATCGTGGCCCACAGCAGCGGTTTAAACTACACCGCGTTTTAATAAAAAAAGTACATTTGTTAATTTGCAAGAGTAAAAGGTAGAAATGGCTAAATTGCAAGTTTGGTCACTCGAATTGCTACAAAATTTCATGTTTGGTCACTCGAATTCATTTATTTCATTCGTAGTCACTTAAATTAGTTGAACAGTCCAAGTTCGGTCACTCTCCGTTAACCTCCGTCAGACTCCGTTAGTGCCGTCAGTAAACTGCTGACATGGCTAACAGAAATGCCTAGTCACCCAATTTAAACAAAAAAAAAATCCATGTGTCACTTTATTATAACCCAGACACATAAGATACCCGAACCGAATAGAAAACATGACTCATCCACCCTTCTTCTTCCTCCTCTATACCATGCTTCTGCTGCCGCCGGGGGATTTCCCCTCGATCTCCCTGCTGCAGCCCCCGCCGCCGGATCCAGATTCGCGACCGTTTCCTTGCCTGTGGCTTCGTCTCCCACAAACCCAACCCCGACTTTCACGGGTTGCCCCGCGAACCCGATGTGCCCACCCATCAATTTGAACACCGGGGAGAGACAGGGAGAAGGCGCAGATCCAGCGGCGGGGGTTCTTCTTCCCCTTTGGCGAAGCTCCACCCGAGGATGTACTGCGCGCTGGTGACGGTGCTCGTCGACGACGAGAACCCGACGTACGTCAATTCGTTGATGTAGGTGGAGAGATCGCTGGAGTGGAGATGAGCGGCTGTTTGGGTTTGGTTGTCATGAAGGGAGCGACGCTGATGTTCATCCTCTTTTGCTTGTCGTCGTACCGGATCCACACCTAGATCTGGTCGCCGGAGAGCAGGCAAAGGGTTCGGTTGACGCCGTCGGCGTCGGAGACGTAGGAGACCGGGGCGGAAGGAGTGGAGATCAGGATGTTGAGGTCGAGCCCGATGTGGTTGTCGTCGATGTCCTGAAAATCGGGGTTGCGCATCGCGTCGAGCTCTACGTCGACGACGTGGTTTGATTCGCTGCCCATGTTGGTGGAATTGAAGAGACCCAGGTGCTGGCTGGCAACGGCGTGGGTGAAGTCGGTGGTGGGGGAGATGACGAAGGCGATGCCGTGGCCGCCCGTCGGTGGCGATTCTGGGACCATGGCGAAGACGAAGGTGGTGGAGAAGGAGAGGGAATCGCTGGAGGAATTGGGGTTGAATTTGAAGGTCTGGTGGTAGAAGGCGTGGCCGGTGACGAGCTGGGTGTGGTTGGTGAGCTGGAGCAGGCCGTCAGAGAGAATTTTGGCCTGGCTGTCGAAGAGAAGATTGGCTTTGTGGAAGCCATTGTAGGGGAAGCTGGTGGTGGTGGGTTCTGGGAATTGGCAGCGGGGAGGAGCATGGAAAAGTGGATAAGTAGTGGTGTTTGTGCCTAGTAGATACTAGGCGGTTTGTGGAGCTGGGGCGAGGCGCCTGATCTCGGATGTCGGGGAGCACTCCTGATACTCTGCAAAACAGCGGTCCAGGGCGGTTCGCCCGGGACACTCTCCGAAGCTTAAGTTAGAGAGAGAAGTGGGAAGATGAGAATTTATGTAAAGAGATGAATAGTAGTTGGCCTTACCATTAATGCACTCACCCTCTATTTATACCTGGTTAAAGGGTGGTTGAGGCATTAAATGCTGTGTCGGGCGCCCCAGACCTGGTCGGGCGCCTCTTCAGGCTTTTTGGGAAATGTCAGGCGTCCTGGGCAGGCTTTCAGCCTTTCTGCAGGCCGCCTGTGGCTGGCAATAAATGCTCAGTCTTGCCTGACACCAGATACGCATCTTCAACGGCTCTCTGGCCCTCTGCGCTGCTCAGTTGCTTTATGTCAGGCGCCCTTATCTTATTCCTCGGGTTCGCAGTCGACCATGGACCGCCCGCTGACCCGGCCTTTCGATCGGGCCTGGCCTCCTTATTGGGCCTTAAACTCCGACTCGCTTCTCTTGGGCCTGCGGCCCAGACCGCTCAACTATGTGGCCCAACAAGTGGTGCTAGAAGATGAGGGAGGGAGATGGAGGAAACAGAGCCATGGCGCAAGAGAGAGAGAGAGGCGGAAGGCAGAGGAGGCATATTTTTTTGGGTGGGTTGAGTTGTGTTTATATGAGGTGGCAGGTTTTTCTGACGTGGCGGGTCAATTTCTGTTTTTTCTTGGGTTAAAATTGGGTGACTAGGCATCTCTGTTAGCCACGTCAGCAGTTAACTGACGGCACTAACGGAGTCTGACGGAGGTTGACGGAGAGTGACCGAACTTGGACTGTTCAACTAATTTAAGTAACTACGAATGGAATAAACGAATTCGAGTGACCAAATATGAAATTTTGTAGCAATTCGAGTGACCAAACTTGCAATTTAGCCTGTAGAAAATGTTAGTCCTCCTAAAACCAAACAAAGTAGTTAACTGTCGAGGCTCACCACTTCATTCTTCCGAGTTCCACCGAAGGCATCTTCGTGTCAACAGTTAAGGCTCTCAGCGGCAACCACAGTTCCAATCCTCTCCTAGCCGCACTGTCAAGGATTTCACTGCCAGCAGCTTCATTACCCTAGGACGAAGGATTGCATCCCGGACGAGGTTTGAAGCTTCTCTGCGTTTCTTCTTCTGCATGTCTTCTGCCGATTAGATTGAAAGTAGCCTCTTCTTCACTTCATTTCTGTTTGTTTGATGCCATCGAAAGTTTACTTTGTTGAGATCTAATGGCTATTGCTGAGGGAATTTCCCAATCTATCGTTTGCGATCAAAGCCTCTTTGTCACACTTTCAATTTGCTTTCGAGGTTCCTGAACAAATGCACTGGTATTATCTTTTGCTTCTTTGAAACTGATTTACAGTAGTTTTTTTTCATATGAAGAAGAAGAAGAGGCGCTTGTTGCTCAAAGAAGAAGAAGAGTGTTGAGGCGTTTGTTACTAAAATGATGTATAGCCTTGAATGTCGATAATGAGAGTATTCTGAGGGATGGACGTCTGGATGGCCAACTGCAGGAGAACGGTGGGATGTTAATGGAGCAGTTCACTAATAGAGAGGCAGAACTGCAGCAGAATGATCAGGGCATGGAAGCTGATATGTTACGGAAGACTTCCTTGAAATGGTTTTAGGAGTCCTGTATGTGCTCTGTCGAGTAAGCAACTAGACAATTAGAAAAGGATTATGAAAATTCTTGTTAACCAGGTGATGTGAGTTGGAGTAATAAATCCAAGAAGTCAACCGTGTGAAGTGGCTCGTGTTCAGCAAATACTCTGTTGAGACGTCTTCTGTGGAGAAAAATAGAGGAACATTATGGATCAGAGATCTGTCTGGGATGTCTTATCTTCCTCAGTGGGTTCGTGGATATGGCGACGACTGTTGAAATGCAGAACTCATGCTTTGACTCATATATCAGATAGCGGATCCTCTCTTGCCTGGAATGGCAAGACTCTTCCGAGGTTTTCTGTGAAATTGGTATGGAAATCGATACTGGGTTCACAGCCCAACTGTGCTTGGCACCATGTGGTTTGGAGGAAACCTTTCATTCCCAAACACATCCTGCTGTTGTGTTTGGATATTCTGGACAGAATTGTAACAAAAGATAAACTTTTGGGATGGTGTAGAATCGAATAAGTAGCTTGTTCCCTCTGCCCAGGTGGTGAGGAGGCAAGGGATCACTTGTTTAGCTGTTGCTACTACACCTAAGGTGCAGAAGAGTGTTTGGAAATGGCACAATCTGCTCTCCCAGGCAGCTAGCAGGAAGGATAATCGAACAAGGGAAGTGGTTTGCTGCAAACAATTCAGTTCGTGAGTCGAGGATGCAAGTAGTAGGAGCTACTGTCTAGCTGGTTTTTTTTATTTATATAGATAGTTGATACAGAGAATTATAGACTAAGTAAGCTGCTGCTTACTAACATTGTACTTTGAGATGGAGTTTTGCAGGTTGCAACTCCTGGGGCTTAATACAATTTTTTTATTAACGATAAAAAAAGACCATTTCAGAGCAGTAAATCAGCTATATGATTGTGGGTCACGATATGCAAATATCTTACATTTCAGTCCTGTTGCAGATAATGGAGATTGGCTGAGAAACAATTGTTCTTGTCCTACTCCCCTGACAAAGATAATGTCAATTGCAATAGGGTTATAAGAAACTCCCAGACTACGAGGTATACTTAATTACTTATGCCTTTTGTTATCTTGTGAATGTGGTAGTGCTTGCAGCTCTTGAATGTAGAACTCCAGCTGATTTGCATGAAATAAAGGATTGAAGCTTTATTGTTTTTGTCCAACGAGCTTTCGCCAGCAAGTGCATCTCTGCGCCACATTGTTAATGTATGATTTCTTAAACTTTGTTGATGGTAGGGAGAAGGAGGGTGGGCACAGGGTTTGCAGCCCCGTAATGTGAAAGCTTTTGGGTCTCTTTCAACACTTACGACTTTCGTCATCCACTTGGTCTGTATCAGATTCCTCGTCAGATCTTGACACTTGAGGTCAGTGAATAGAATGAACTAGATGAATCTCCTCTCCCTAAATATTATGGAGGAAAAATAAACAAAAGTAATGAATGGTGCGGGTGAGTTATGGTGCTGCTGGTGGTCTTGTGTTATTTGTTTCCTCTGCAATTCAATATTTTTTATAAGGATTGGGAGTCATTTGATTTGAACCTGAGACTAAGCTTGCCATGTTTCTTTGTATGTTCACTGCACTTATCATGTTTTATCGAACTTGTTCTCCCCCCCTCAGATAATTGTGCAAAGTCATTTGATTTTTAGTTTTTTTATCGAACTGTGGATTTGGTATAACCGGATGGAAACTTGGAATTGTATGAAATCAGTGTTTTATTAATAATGAAGACTTCTCGATATATTTAAAAAACTGAATCCTTGTAGTGATAAGAGAAGCTTACTTATGCAAAGCTTGACCTTTTTTGTTGAATCATAACTATAGTTCAGCTTGCCTTCTCTTTTATGTTCTTTAGTCATGGTTTGTTTTTGTTTGCAGGAAAAGACGAGAAGATGGCACCAGTGATGGTTGATTTAGAACTGGCTTCCTTTCTGTATGTTTTCCGGCGCTTGTGTATTGACATTCATATGCCAATGCTTCCTAGTAAGTTCTCAAACATTTACTTTTTCACTAATGACTACTCAATTTTCCCCGAAGTTAGTCATGACACACAGCGTTTTTGTTATTCAGGTTATTTTGATAAGCCATATGGTTTCAGTTCTTTTAATGAGCATGGACTTACAGAGTTATCAATTCAAATAGTGGTGCACACTGGTACTTCTGCCTTACTCGACTGTACTCTCTGACCGAGAAATTAATGGAGACTTCGATGAGCCGTTGTGCTCTCCAGTGGGGATGAGAGTTTGGATGGTAGGTAATGTTCTATCGTTCTATATACATCATGAAAGAAGAAAAGATCACTAAGATACAGGAGGAAAAAAAAAATGGAAGAAGGGCTTCTTTAAGTTTTATAACTGTTCTTAAAGCTCTCTTTAATATCTTCTGCAAATTTGTATTTCTTAGTATGCATATTGTACTGTATTGTGCTTGGTTAACTGTTTCTCATGCTTACAGTTGAAGTCTTATATTTCAAATTTCGGCTACATAACCAATGATTACTAGGACCTCTCATCATAGGATCATTGAGAACAGGGCAGCACTAGCTTGACGCACACATAGGAATAATTCATGCAAGCTTTGCTACAACTACTTAACAGCAGCAGTGTCCTGCATAGTTGGACTTCAATACCATCACAATTTTGCTCGCTTACAGTTACATGTGAGGGATATCTGCACTTATTATCATCCTTGTCAATTGTTGTAATTCCTTTGATCCACTTGGAGATCTGGTTCCAATGTCAACCAATTGCTAATCTGCATTAAGGTTATGAGTAATTACAGGAAGAGGAATGAACGAGGGAAGGCTAAAGGAAGGAGAGCAACTGAGCCAGCGAGACTAGGAAGGAGGAGATTTATGATTTGCCCAGCCATATGTGAATCCTACCCCTGTCAGTTCAGGTAAAGATGAATGCTGAACCATCAACCCATCCAGTGAAAGAAGAGTTAGTTGTGGGTTCCCTCGAGTAATGGTATATACTCCACCTTGAACAGTTCAGAAGAGGGTTGTTCCCCTGGCGGGTTGGGTTCGGATACCAACTCATATGCTTCGTTCATGGCAGTCTCATAAAGCAGTGTGATCGGATTCCTGATGGTATGCATCTGTATTCTGATTGGTGATGCGTTCATATTCCTTATCGTTACCACTTCGTCGTCTTTGGTTTTTAGGCTACAATAATGAGCTTGACACTTGTGAACCTGCTTCAGGTACCACCATTACAGTGGCTGGAAGCATTCAAGAGCGACGACATTGGGAGCCTGGAGTCGTCGACGCTGCTGGTGAAAGAGGATTTGAACCAACACTATAGAACTCCATCCATTCAGGGGAAGGCATCTTTGATGAAATTGCTAGCCTTTAGGGGATAGAAAAAGTAGTTGAGTTCAATCAAATGAAAGCTTCTCAAGTTCTTCCGCAGTTACAAAGATTTCCTCACTGATCAAGCGGTTGTGTAAACCTTGCCGCTCCACTCGGCAGGAGATTCATTCATTCATTCATTCATTTCTAGTTGCATGGATCACTTATAGAAGACGTTGCTTTTCAACAACGACATTGTCTAACAACGTTCATTTCCAAGAATGTGCAAGAGAAGTTTGCCTTCGAGGTGACCATTTACAATAATGTGCATGAAGTTAGCAAAACTGCTAAAGTAGCAAATACTGGAAGGGATGATGCAATTCACTCTTTGTTTACACAGTTTGTTCCACGCGTAATCAATTCATAACCATCAACCACAAAAACACACTTCCGATCACCATCATATTGTACAAACAGAGGGAACCTACTTCAAAGAGCATCATCATCCAAGCATCATATTATGTAAAAGCAGAAGGAACTTCAAAGGGCTACATCATCCAAGCATCATACAGCACAAATCATGTAAAAACAGAAGGAACTTCTTCACAAGGAGTCACGATCGAAGCATCGTATAGCATAATAAAGAAGATGTCTGGGAATTTGATAAGAGTTGCCCAACATACATACATACATAATAAACATCCAACGTACCCGCACTGTAGTGTTTGTGCTTTACCAAATCAAACTACAATTGCACAATGAGTTTGTCAAACTAAAGACTAGAGAGAGTTAGTTTGTGCCTCTACAAAACCCCACAGAAGAAAGCAACATCTTCCAACATTAGAATGTCCCCAAAATATGGAGTCTAGCCTCCTCTCATGAGCTAGCTTAGCTCTTTGAAAGCCTTCCTTCCCAACGATCCAGCAAAGCAAAGCCAAGTCAACAAACACCCACCACTTCCTTGAGATACAAGAAACACACATGAAACAACAGTAGTTAGAACATCGGCCAGGCATAGAAAAACAACAAACAACTGGCTGCACATGAATGTTGTTAATATGAAGAGATGGAGATGGATCTGATAACATTCATCAAACTGACCGACCGACCCTCACAAGCTCTTCCCAAAGGGCCATTAAACATTTTCACAGGCCATGAGCATAAAACAAGGAGCAAATTCATCTTCTGAGTCCTACTTACTACGACAGTATTTCACTTACACGCATCAGACAGACGATTTCAAGAAGGTGTTCATCCATCTCCTCTCTAAAGATCATAAACCCTTTCACAGACTTTGTCACATGAGCTTCAAGAGGCTAATCCAGAACATTGAAAACCGGACACAAGCTAACCATATCTCAGAGGACATAATAATAGTAATAATCATCAATAAAAACTTCCTCACAGATCTACCAGTCTTTGAATCCGCCATCTAACTAATAGAGATCAAGTAACTCAACATGTGGGGTTGACATCATGAAAGAAAATATATCAACCGCAAAATAGACGAGTGTTGAAGACTTACAAGTATCGTTCCATATCTTGTTCAACTATTCTTTAATCATCATATCGCGGTTGAGCTTGAGCAGCTACGGCGACCTCTCTAGCGCGGACAGCAGCTTCATCAGCAGCTACAGCTACCTCTCTAGCGCGGACAGCAGCTTCATCAGCAGCTACAGCTGCCTCCCTTTGGCTTACAGCGACCTCCCTAGCGCGGACAGCATCTTCAGCTGCATTTGCCAACATCTCCCTTACACCGGGGAAATTTTCATTGAGAGTTGCTTCAGCAGCAGCAACGGCTGCCTCTCGTTCGGCGAGAACAGCTCCGGCATCTCTTGCAGCTGTCTCCCTTTCAATTAAGGTTCTCTGCCTTATTGCAAGAGCAGCTTCAGATCTGGCCCTCAATGACGCAACTTCTCTTCTAGCTTGAGTGGCTTCCTGCTGCCTGTCATCTCGGTCAGTAACACTATCCTTGCATTGCTTTAGCATGTCATTGCATTGGCGTGCAAGCTCATTTCTTTCTTTGCGATGAGCATCCAGCTGCCTTTTCGCTTCAATCATTTCTTGGCATCGATCGTTTCGTTCCCGTATAGCTTTCTCCCACTTCAGTTGCTGAGCATTCCGTCGTTCCGTGGCACGATTGAGTGACTTCTGCAGGCGGCACAGTCGGATAGAAAACTCTTTAGTTTGACGGCGGCAGTCATCGCGCTCTCTTTTAGCAGCGTCTCTTTCCCAGCTTCGTTCAGCTAGCTGACCTGCAGCTTTGGCACTTCCTACTCTGGCCTCATCGCATTCTTTTCGGTGTCTGTCCCGTTCGGCCAATGCCTGGTTCCTCTCATGTACACGGTCCGACAGCTGGTCCTTAGCTTCTTGGCATTCCTGTTGAAGAGCATCCCGTTGATCTGTAGCTTCTGCCTTCTCCCTTCTGCATTCATCTCTCTCGGAGGTGGCCGCGTCTCTCTCTTTTCGCCGTTGGTCGCGTTGGGTTGCAGCTTCCTCGGCCTCCCGTTGGTTGGAGTTTCGTTCCACCATAGCTGCTTCCACCTCTCTCTTAACACGTTCCAAGTTTTTGGTAGCCACATCAACTTGTTCATTCAACTGTAATAGTTCACCAGTGGTTTGGTGCAGAACCTGGATGTTTCGGAGCTGTACTCTTGCTGCTTGCACTCGGCATTGGATGCGTGTCAATTGTCTCTCTGCATCCTCGGTTCTCCTCTCGATCGCCGCTAAGGTGGGTGATTTCCTCTCCTCATCTCGAACTGCCCTCAGATGATCCACCAATAACAGCAACACTAGCGCTGCAAAAACGACCACAGCTCCTATCCAAGCATACTTGCTATGAACGTTCAATTCCGCCTTGGCATTGATAACCTTCCATGAGGCTACAAATGCCACGCTGCAAAAGAAGAAAAAAAATATGATTACATACAAATTTCACTAAACACAAAACTAAAGGTTAATTTAAGAATTAACAGATTTTATACCTAAGCCATGTAAAGCACACTCCAAAATGATATTTGGATTGCGCTATGTGGACAACAGAGAGTGTGTAACCACAGTAGATCCATTGCACATGGATAATGGAATGGTAGTTGGCAAATTCAGAAATCAGCCGATCAATCACTACTCCTACCACAAGAATCAATCCAAAAACTACGATTTGCAAATACCACCACCTATCAAACCACCTATCGATCAACACACCCACATCCCCCTTCCAAAATTTCGGTCCTATCATACCAAGAGGTACTAAACCTCCCAAGATGCTAAGGGATAGGGGCAGGTAGAATTTTAGAGAGCTGGAATGAGGTGGTCTGATTCTAAGAAAGTAATACAAACTTCCGGAAAGGTCGAAACCCAGAGCTAGGATAAACCAGAACCCGGGATGAAGCAAAATCAGAGAAACACATTTTCTGATTTTGGCTTTCAAAGAGTTTTGATTGGTTCTTAAATCATTACGAACCAAATCAAACTCCTCCCGAATCCAAGCAACAGAAAAACTTGTCATAATGAAAAGAAAAACTACACTCGAGCATTCACCAGTAAAACAGAGGAGGAACCTGAACAAGTAAACCTAGGTTTGATAATGGTGATGAACTTTGAACTAAAAAGAGGAGAAAGATCACTTCAGAAGCCGTGAAAATGATCCATGTTCAGAACAAACGGATAGACAGCTAAACAAAGAAGCTGTCAAAAGGCAGAAAGAGGAAAACAAGAAAAGAGCTGAGACTAAGCAGCAAAGAAGACAACAGAGGAAGAGCCTTGGAACCAAGGCGCTTGCAAACGCAGACCAAAGGCCTGCGAATCGTGGGATCCCTGCAGAGATCCAATGTAGTCCTTAATTCCTATCTGCCAAAACCATCGAGAGATCCAACCTAGTTTGAGAGCGGGAAGCTCGGAAACCCACTTCGGCGAATGATTCAATTAAAAGACTTGATCCATAGTAGCAGGAAAGTACAAGAACAGCACAACAACAGCAAACGCTCAAAACAAAAGGGACAGGCTAGGCTAGGCGGACCAGACCGCCCCTGCCAAGATCGACGGCAGACGAAGCCAAACACCAAACCCAGACAAAGAACAAGGCGGACCAGAAGCAAAAGGCCACACCAGAAGAACCCTAAGTCTCCAAGCTGAAAACTTTGAGAAAAAGAACAAGCAGCCACACCAAATGAACAAGGGGTTGCTTTACCTTGTAATATCCCGTTTCTCTCCATCTAAAACGGGCAAAACGAAAGAAGTACTTTTTTTGTGGAAGTAGAGTTGTGTCAAGGAAGAGGAAAGAGTGACAGAAACCAGAGAGGCTCTGTTCTGTCTTCTGTGTTTTTGCAGGGGTTCTGTGTTTGATGGGATTGCAGGGGTTCTTTGTTTGATTGGGAGGAAGGCGGGAGGGAGATGTGGCGTTTTATGTTTTTACTTTTTAGGTTAAATAGGTTTTGGATTTTCTTTTTTTCTTTTTTGAAATCCTTCGGTTGACCACATATTCTCAAATCCAAAAACTTGGGCAGGCAGGACTTATAATTAATTATTATTAATAAATTCATTTAAAAAATGAAACGTTAACCGCCTATATTTTAATAGCTAATGCCTAATAATTATTAAGTATTAGGTATTAAGCAATAAGTAATAACATGGTGCCTTTTCCTTTAATTTCTGATTTTTGCCGTATTTTCTTTTAGAGAGTAAGACAGTTTAACAGCTTATTAAAAGTAGCACAAGGACCAAAGTAAAGAGTTTACACAATTTTGCAATGTTGTCAGTAGAGAGTTTGACTTATTAATAAGTAAAATATTTTAATCCTTCGTATTTTTCTAGTATAAATCAAATATGTTAGACAATATGTTACTTGTTTTTTAGTTTCATATATTGTCATATATGTATTAATCGTCATATTATATTATTAAATGTAAACATTTTGTTCTCGTATTATGGATTGGATTTTCATCCAACTCGACCCAAATCATTATCCAATCCGCGACTCATGAGTTGGATGGTTAAAAACAATCAAAACGGACCCAACCAATCCATGTGCACCCCTGTTTATAGTTTACATAACAAACCGAAAGCAGAAAGGGAATAGTAATAATTGCTAAGGAAAATGGGTTAGTCGGTTTAGACTGTTCAAACGGTTAGCCATCTAAACAACTAACTGACTGATCAACTCAAAGCCGTCTTTTTTAGGTGTTCTAATGAGCCCATACATCGCTCAGCTCGAATGCCGTAGCCCAACACCTCTGCCATGAGGATGAGGAGTAGCCCGGCCCATGCCGAGAGAAGCTTGTCGTTGTAGGAGTCTGTTTCTTTTTGTTAGTTGAATGGGTTGGCATAGTTGTTAGGATCTTTTGAGTTTGGCATAATAAGTGGAGCAAGTTCAGCAGTGTGGTTGCTGAATGTGGGGAGTAGTTCCACCAAGTTAGGACTGCATTGTTCCTTTTCATACGTGGATGTATTTAAGTTAAAAGTGAAATGAAATAAGAGAAACCGGATCTACACCCGTAAAAAAAAAAGGGAGCTATCTCTTAAAAAAAAAGGAGCTATCAAAATCTATCGCGTATCATCTGCGTATAGGAAGCTTAGTCCTCCATTTCCTCACTTCTTCTTATCGCGTATCATTGCGTATCGGGTCGTTTGCTTGAGGGTTTTGGTGATGAATTTGTTCATGGAAATATATCCATCATGGACTTGAACCGAAATCCATCGTTTGCTTTAGGGAATTAGGGAGATGGAATTTGTGGGGCCCACCTCTTTTGCGGTTCCAAATCCGTGGACCCCACGGACTTGGAAGTTCCACCTCTTGAGGTGGGATTTGGGTGATGGATTAAAATCCATGATTGTAAATTACCTTTCTACCCTTAATTATTTCTTTAATTACAAATTTGTCCTACTTTAATTCAATGGTCATGCAACTGTAAACTTTTATAATTTGGTATTTTATAAATATGAGAATTTATCATTTCATTTTGTAATATCGTATTTTATTTAAATATGAATGTATATGTGATTTGTTAGATTCATCTATAAACACTTTATGCTCATCTTGTACATTATTATTTGATTGATTGTCGGATTCCACATCGGTAAGTTAGCAAGAAGATGATGAGTTGTGGCAATAAAGCGAGCAATTGGCTGCAATTGATGCATAATATTGCGTACATTATTAGATGAATTGTTAATTAGTGCCAAATTGTAATACATTTCTATATTTGCAGTTGAATTATTAGTCCACATAGTGGTAAAGATTTTAAAATTTCTTTCTATGTTTTGGATAAGTTTTAAATGAAAGATTTGGATTATAATATAGAAATATAATTAAATAAGGGTAACTAGGTAATTTGTATTTAATATCCACAAATCTAATCAAACAAAGTCCATAATCAAATCCATTAAGCAAACAATAGACTTGTTCAAATCCATAATGCCACCAAATCCATCATATATCTATGGTTTTCCAAAACCCTCATGAAAAATCCATGAAGCAAACTACCCGCAAATGAAGGAGGAGTTATTTTCAAATCCTTAATTAACGAGGCCACAAATAAATGAGCTAGCCTTGTGACAAAATGCAAGAAGATATAAAAATAACAATAAATTCCATCACATAATTAACGAGGCCACAAATTCGATCTAATAGAAACAATAATATGAAAGGCTTGTGATCGATAATACTACTTGAGTAATGCATATTTTTTTAGCTAGCTAGCTAGCGCCATCCAACGAGCCCAAAATATGCCAGTAAGGTGATCATCACCTGGCAGTCTAAAATTATACAAACAATTGAAAGCCTTCCAAGACGCTGTACCTTGTTGTCCTTCTAACCAACTAACTTGCTCAAAAGGGAATTCGTTTTCTTGCTCCATTCCAATTCCTTCTTGCATGCCATCAATTCTGCGCTCTTCTCCTCCAACCTCCGTCGGAGCTCCTTGTTGTCTTCCTCCGCAGAGCTGAAAGTTCCGCCAACCTTCGTCGCGGTGTACATGCCAATGCTCGTCACTCTGCTACTGTGTTGATCAAGTAACTTCTCGTCACATCTATCCCGATCATCAGGGCGATCGGTGATGAACTGCATAGTTTTAGATAGATCAATGTGTGATTCTGATTCAGAAAAAAAGTACAAAACCCATCGTTTCTACTTTCATAAGCCCATTAATTAATCAACTCTTTCCTTTCTTTCGTCCCAAGGTATATAAACCAAGAAGGAGAAGAAGGCCATAAATGGAAAAACAAGTTAATAATTACGATCGTCTCAACCAGCAGCAGCAAATAGAATTTTCAAGAAAAGCGAGTAATTTGTTACTAAGTATATATAGCACAACTTTGTTAAAGCTCTAGTAACACGCGCTACTCGAAGTGAAACTTGAAGTGAAAATGTCGAATCATGGTAACAATGCCTAAGAATTCTGCGAAAAATTTTCATAATCATACATATTCAAGTGAGTAAGACGCTATATATATCAATATCAAGTAGAGTTGATGAATTCATTGAAAGTTCCGCCAACCTTCGTCGTAGTGTACATGCCAATGCTCGTCACTTTGCTACTGTGTTGATCAAGTAACTTCTCGTCACATCTATCCCGATCATCAGGGCGATCGGTGAGCTGCATAGTTTTAGATAGTTTTAAATAGGATCCAAATTCATTGATCATATATATTCAATTCGATTCAAATATCAATTTTGTATGTTGACCACCCCTAACCAGCCCATCTGAGGTGAATTGAATACAAGTAGATTTTAGTTTTATTCCTCCCCCAGTAAGTCACTCAATGAAGAGAAATAATATGTACAAAATTATCTAGTACACAGCAGCTAACGAAACGAGTAAAGTTGAACCTCGAGAACACATGAGGCAACAATAATAGGGCATGCCGAGCTATCAAGTCAGCCGTCCTATTTCGAGCACGACCAACAAACCGAACAAAGAAATTAGTCTGGAACTGTAATAAGTGGATTGTCTCAACCAAGATTGCTCCAATCTTCGCATCTGATTGTCGGTTTGTTGGTCGTGCTCGAAATAGGATGGCTGACTTGATAGCTCGGCATGCCCTATTATTGTTGCCTCATGTGTTCTGGAGGTTCAACTTTACTCGTTTCGTTAGCTCTGCTGTGTAGTACTAGATAATTTTGTACATATTATTTCTCTTCATTGAGTGACTTATTGGGGGAGGAATAAAACTAAAATCTACCGCGTGTATTCAATTCACCCCAGATGGGCTGGTTAGGGGTGGTCAGCATACAAAATTGATATTTGAATCGAATTGAATATATATGATCAATGAATTTGGATCCTATTTCCATCATCTCTCATGAATTATCTAAGTTTTGTAAAAAAGATTGATTCGAAAGTAAACTTAAGCCCGATTATAAACAAGCCATATAGTATCGTATTTCAGTTGGCGGACAAGGAAATTAAATAAACCTAAAGAACAAACCCTAGCTAGCACTCTCGTCTCTCTCAATTAAAGTTTATACTATCCCGCCGTCGATCGGGATGTCGAAAGCGTTCGCCTTGAACTCCGACAAAATATTCATCACACCATGTGTTGATAGTAGTACTCTTGAAGTCTGGTGGTACAAGGGCGACCTGAACGACGATTTCCAGCGGACGCGCGGCCGCCGGCTTAACGAGCATTGGGGCGACAATAGTCGAGTCCGCGTCGGCCCTAACGAACAACAATACCAGGCGCTGCAAGTCTTTGGGGCCACGGTCAAGGGATACCAGTTCATAGTGCTGGTCAACGATCTCATTAGGATGCTAGGAGCTGGCTCCGCGATGGGATTCAACGTTTTCGTGAACCGCTTCGGCCTCTGCATAATCAGCCGGGTCAATGGCGGCGGCGGTGCCCTGCGGATCAACGATCGCTTTGGCTGGTCAAGGTACGGCGTGAAACTGCCCCGTGACGTCGGCACCGGGAACACCGTGTGGAACATAGTCGACATGTACACCGGAGAAACCGTGCTGGACGTTCGAGGAATGGTGAGAGCCGGCAATGAGCCGGCGGCGCGCACGAAGCAGATTATTTCGAGCAAGTTGGAGAAGGAGGAAGAGGTGGAGAAGGTGACTATAATATTAATTCATCAACTCGATCCACTTGATATTGATATATATAGCGTCTTACTCACTTGAATATGTATGCTTATGAAGTTTTAACCCAGAATTCTTAGGCCTTCTTCTCCTTCTTGGTTTATATACCTTGGGACGAAAGAAAGGAAAGAGTTGATTAATTAATGGGCTTATGAAAGTAGAAACGATGGGTTTTGTACTTTTTTTTTAATCAGAATCACACATTGATCTATCTAAAACTATGCAGTTCACCGATCGCCCTGATGATCGGGATAGATCTGACGAGAAGTTACTTGATCAACACAGTAACAGAGTGACGAGCATTGGCATGTACACCG